AGCCCTCGTGGCCCTCGTGGTGAATGGAGGTTTGCCTTGTGATGTATGAGCTTCGGAAGTCGGTTGCCTTAAGTGATGCTTACAGGCGAAAAAGCCCTGAATCAGTTCGTGACATTTGGTTTTAAGCCAGCCGATTTGGTCCATCCCAGAAGCGATTGTTCCAATCAGATATTGGCTGCAGGGCTTAGCCTTTAGCCCTATCCTTTTCGTGCATAAATTATTATGCTGTTCAATTCATCACGTGGAGAAAATGTCCTAGAAGATTTTGTTGATACTTCTATAAAGTGTTGTGACATGCGTATGAAACCGAATATCACCATTTCATTCATTTCAATGTTCCGCAATTATTGCGACCATTCCTTTAACACCAAACTTCACATATTTACACACATATTAATAGCTTTATCTGCTGAAAGGGGTTATACAACATTGATTATACTCCATAGGTTACAATAAGCACATCAAGCATATAAAAGACATAAAACACATTATTTGTGGATACATTTTCACTACTTATGATGAGTTTTTAAATTATTGTCGGTTGAACATCGTCCATACAACTTCTGGGTTTCTTTGTTGCAACGAATAGAGCGCAGTTTTCTGGAATAGGGAGGAAAGGAAGAATTTTCTGAGGTCACTAAAGTCACGTGGTGTAGGTCTGCTGATCTTCCCGCTCAGACGTGGAGCTGTAAATCTGTTTTTCTTGTTTATTGGATTATCGATTTATGCTGAAGCTGGTCAAAGTTTCACTGCACATCTGGTCCTTGAATGGTCTCAAACAGAGGGAGTCCTTTTCTCCTGTTGATTGAGTTAGGTTTTTAGAAGTTTCGCACATCAAGCATATATAAGACATAAAACATATTATTTGTGAATATAGTTGCCCTTTTATACTTTTAAATGATTGTCTTTTGAAATCATCTATGCGAGTTCGCGTGTTCCTTTGTTGCAATGAAAAGGGCGCGAGTTATGTAGAAAGGACAGGAGGAATGTCCTGAGGTCAAGGAAGCGGAGGTCTGCTGATCTTCCCGCTCAGACGATGGAGCTGTAAATCTGTCTTTCTTGTTTATTGGATTATCGATTTATGCTGAAGCTGGTCAAAGTTTCACTGCACATCTGGTCCTTGAATGGTCTCAAACAGAGGGAGTCCTTTTCTCCTGTTGATTGAGTTAGGTTTTTAGAAGTTTCGATCCCCTGAGGGATAAGGACCAGGCCTTGACAGGAAGCCGGTCCAGACAATTGGGCACCATGTTGATCATTCATTAATTTTACGACCGCAGATGGCTGGGGAGGAGAATCTTTAGTTTTTCCTGTGGAATGTGGAGATTCAATCGTTCATTTGTGTCTGTATACAGAGGCCCTACACATCCCCCTTTGGCTCGGTGATGTTCCTGTTGCGAACATCGGCGGGCAGTGGAACAAGAGGCAGAGAGAGAACAGGCACACACAAGACACAAACAACATCTCCATCACTAACTGAATCCTAGTGCAAGGCTTAGGTAATTTGGGATAATTAAGTTTAGAAACACTTGAGACGACTTATGGGTGCATTGTTTAGGATTATCTAGAATTGGGTCATTTTGATTGATCTAGTTGTCAGAGGTTCGACGAGGTGGTATAGGCGTAATCTCAGTCAGGTTTGTTGAGTTCTCAGGTTCAGGTTCTTGGTCAGTTTTATCACGTCGGAACATGCGTGGGACGCCGGACGTGCACTTGTTGAAAGCCCAAGACCGAATGATTGGCGCGCCAGCGGGCGGAAGGCGAGCAATAGCTTCTAAGGCTGTGTCAACAGGAGTCAGATCAATAAGTTGCGTTCCTTGCTCCTTGATCCTATTTTCCAATTCTGGATCGAGGACGAAGGAATGCTGTTTGAAGAAGGGTGAGATTTCGAGTTCGGCCTGATACTCGTCGTCGGTAAGGTGATACAATGCTAAATCATCAATACGGAGGATCGAGCCCTTAGGGACAGTGATCCATAGAGTTTGGTTGGGCAGGATAATGCGCGTGGCAGTGTCGTGTCGATCGTAGGTGAGGGTAGCCGTACGCGCTGGGGTGTCGACTAGCCATCGGTTTCAACGTGATGTTCCTGGTGCGAACATCGGCGGGCACTGGAACAAGAGGCAGAGAGAGAACAGGCACACACAAGACACAAACAACATCTCCATCACTAACTGAATCCTAGTGCAAGGCTTAGGTAATTTGGGATAATTAAGTTTAGAAACACTTGAGACGACTTATGGGTGCATTGTTTAGGATTATCTAGAATTGGGTCATTTTGATTGATCTAGTTGTCAGAGGTTCGACGAGGTGGTATAGGCGTAATCTCAGTCAGGTTTGTTGAGTTCTCAGGTTCAGGTTCTTGGTCAGTTTTATCACGTCGGAACATGCGTGGGACGCCGGACGTGCACTTGTTGAAAGCCCAAGACCGAATGATTGGCGCGCCAGCGGGCGGAAGGCGAGCAATAGCTTCTAAGGCTGTGTCAACAGGAGTCAGATCAATAAGTTGCGTTCCTTGCTCCTTGATCCTATTTTCCAATTCTGGATCGAGGACGAAGGAATGCTGTTTGAAGAAGGGTGAGATTTCGAGTTCGGCCTGATACTCGTCGTCGGTAAGGTGATACAATGCTGAATCGTCAATATGGAGGATCAAGCCCTTGGGGACATTGATCCATAAAGTTTGGTTGGGCAGGGTATTGTGCGTGGCAGTGTCGTGTTGATCGTAGGTGAGGGTAGCTGTACGCGCTGGGGTGTTGACTAGCCATCGGTTTTAGCTTGTGTTGCCTCAATTTGTTGACGGCGGCTATTCACAACGATTTACAACAATTTTGATTAAGGGACCTGGATTTAAAGATGAGTTAAGGGAGTTCCCTGGTGAGGGGACTGGGGGGAAAGGAGAACATGGAGAGAGAGGAAAAAAGAAAAGAAAAACAATGAGACACAAGGACACTGAATGAGGATAGACAGCAAGGGTAAGTGTCACATGTGTAGAACAACTCCTCTCTACTAGAGGTTGGTCCTAGCTGTGCGGCGGAGGAGAGTGTGTAGGTGTTGTGTTTAAGAAAGTTAGCTATATGTTTTCCTAGAATGACAGAAATTATGTTAGTGTTGTGTAGAGTATGGGATTGTCGGTCTGTGTCAGTTGGTTTGATCTTCCCCCTTTTCCTGTCAGTTGGAGCCCTGTTGCCTCTTTATCTGGTTTCAATGGACCCATCGAAGGACTGGCTCGCTGCACCCTTGTCTGATTTTGATTTGATAGGCCACAGGTGAGATCTTGTCCATAATCTCGTGGGGTCCTGTCCAGTGAGGTAGGAATTTCTTTGACAGGCAATGGGAAGCGTTCTGCCTTGGTTGGGTGAAGCTGTAGTACCACACTTTGTCTCCGATGTTGAGCTCTTTTTGAGAGGCCTTTTGGTTGTAGTAGGCTTTACGACCTTCCGCGCCTCTTTGGAGTTGTTGCTGCACGAAGGCGAAAGTCATTCTCAGGTGTTGATGCAACTTTTCCAGGTACTGGTGAGTGGTGTAGGCGGTGACGAGGTTCATGTTGCCAGGTTGGTACAGCAGGTGTAGCGGTAGTGTCATTTGTCGCCCCGTCATCATTTCGAACGGGGGTACTCCGGTAGACCGGTGAGGGGTGGCCCTGATGGCCATCAGTACCAGAGGAAGCTTAATATCCCAATCCTTTTTTATTAGCGGACACGTACTTCTTCAACATGCTGACCACTGTCCAGTTGACTCGTTCCACTTGACCTGAGGAAATTGGGTGATAGCTTATATGGAGCTTGGCCTGTATACCCAGAAGTTTCCACACTTCCTTCATGACTTCGGCGGTGAAGTGGGTTCCTCGGTCAGAGTTGACCCTTAAGGGCAGTCCGAACCTTGAGAAGATGTGGTTCATCAAAAGGCAGGCTGTCGTTTCTGCTGTATCGTTGGGAGCTGGGAGACACTCTACCCACTTTGTGAATTCGCAAACAATGGTGAGGAAGTATTTGTTACCCCGTGTTGACCGTGGTAGGGGTCCCACCCAATCTATTTGGAGGTCCGACCATGGGAAGGTCATTCCTTTCCGTTGCAGTGGTGCTCGGTGATTTGGATTTGCCGGTTGGAACTGGCAACACACCAGGCATCCTTTTACGTACTCCGCCACGTCCTGCTGCATGCCAGGCCAGTATGCTACTTGCTTGAGCGTTTCGTAGGTGGCCTTGGTGCCATGGTGTCCAGCGCATGGTGAATCGTGGGCGTGCGTCAGCATTATCCCCCTTTGGCCCTGAGGGACTACGAGCTTTGGCGCAGTGAGGGGCTCAGGGACATATGTGAGGACGCCGTCTTTGAGATGCAGCATGTGCTTGATAGAGTTGAGCGTGCGGAGGTCATAGGAAGTGGCTAGGTCGGAGGTGGGAATGGGATGAGTTAATGGGTCTGAAAGGTGAGCTGCAATAGTTTGCAGTGTTGGATCCGAAGCTTGGAGGGTGAGAAGATCATCAGTGGCGAATTGAGGTGAGAGTTCAAAGTGGGAGGAGGCGGGGTTTTGCGTGCTGGCGGTGGGTTATGGTTGCCACTGACGGGTTGGGTGGGAGTGCAGGAAATGTCCAGGACTTTCCGTGTAATGCATCTGCTTTGGCGAGGGCATCAGTTTGGTCATTGAGATCTTTGTCTTGTCCTGGTTGACGTGAGTGGCCTCGGACCTTTTTCCAATAAACGATCATGTCATGTTCAGTGATGGCATCGCATGCTTAGAAGAGTTTCTGATGTTTGACAGGCTTGTTGTTAGCTGTCTTGAATCCATTCTGTTTCCATCCAGCTAGATGGCATGTGAAGCTTAGACGGGCATAGTTCGAGTCGGTACAGATGAGGAGTTCTTTGATGTTGTGGGATGCAGCAAGTTGTAGGGTGATGAGGATGGCCGCTATTTTTGCATATTGTGATAAGTGAGGGCCTAATTTGAATTGTTGCGGTGGGAAAGGGTTGTTGTTGAGCCAGACCACACCCGCTCCAGCCTTCAAGTTGCCCTGTTGATTGTAGGAGCAGCCATCAACATATGCTGTGGGCATCCCTTCACACACATTCTCCTCGAAGTACCTGTGGTTTTTCAGTTGTGTTTGTGAAGGTTCTTTGGGTTCTGCTGCTGTGTGCAATGTGTCCGTTGAACAGTTCTGGCAGGCTGCTAGCCCGTTTCCTAGAGATGATTTGTGGTTTTGGGCATATCTTGCCTCGACATCCCGTCCTTGGAGCGTCATTAACCAGGTAGCTATGCGTGCGTTGGTTACCACGCCATCCCTGATTCGTTGGCTATTGAGGAAGGTGACTGGCTGGTGACATGTTTCAATAATAACCTTCTGAGCTCCAATGTAGTTGGAGAAACGCTGGATGGCCCACACAGTGCAAAGCAAAGCTTTTTCGCAGTCTGAGTACTTGCATTCTGGGGGAAGCAGCGTTTTGCTGGCGTAAGTGACCACTCACTTGTCTTTGTCGTGGAGCTGGTACAGGCCTGCGCTGAGGCAGTGATTGGAGAATCCAGCGTCCAGATAGAATTCCTTTCCTGGGTCTGCGTAGGCCAGGCACGGGGTGGAGCACAGGCGTTGTTTGAGCTCGCTCATAGCTGTGTCCTAGGCTTCCGACCAAACAAAGGGCTTGTCCTTTCTCAGGAGGGAGGTTAGTGGTCGTGCGATGTCAGCGTAGTTTTCAATGAACTGTCTTGAGTAATTGCACACTCCCAGAAAGCTTCGCAGCTAGTGTTAGTGGGTGTCCTTATGTTTTGGATTGCTTGGGTGCGGCTGGACTGTGGTTCGATGCCATCTTGTCCGACAAGCAGGCCGACATAGTTCACTTTGGTTTTACACCATTGTCATTTGTGGAGGGCGATTTTCGCTCCTGCCGTTGCCAGCTGGTTCAGGACGTGATCGATTTCTTTGAGGTGGTCTGCCACATTTGAACTTTTCAAAAGAACATCATCCAAGTAAACGAGGTTGCCTCTGGTTCCGGCATCAGGGCATGCTTTGTTCAGGAAGATGTTGAATTCTGCTGGTGAGTTGGCATAGCCAAAGGGGCAACATGTGAAGGTGTATTGTCGATTGCCAAAGATGAATGCCAGCTTGTGTTGGTCATCAGGGTGGACAAGGATTGTCCAAAATCCTGAGGTGACATCCAGCGTGGAAAGGATCATTGAGCCTTTGATTTTGGGAATCTCTTGGTCCAACTGAGTCATAGGCCATCGCGATAAGGGTACTTGCTGGTTTAATTTGCGATAGTCAATGGTGGGCCGCCATTTGCCATTGGGCTTTAGACTGGCCATATCGGGGCAGAGTACGTGCTTTTACAGGGGCGGATGACCCCCTTTTCCAACATGGAGTCTATGATTTATTGCACTGGCTCATATGACGCAATTGGAATCTTGTACTGCCGCACAAATGTTGGTGGCTCATTTGGGCTTGTCGGGATGCGCACCTTGTGGGTTTCATGGGGTCTTGTGAATGTTACGGTGTCATCGTATTCGTCTGATATTAGTTGGGCTGGTATGGGGCCTATGACAGGTATCGTTACCTCAAAGTCGTGAAACGCCTGGTTGATGAACCATCCCAGGTGACTGGCTTTGGGAATGTTGATGTCTTTGGCCGTACAGTTGTTGAACAACACATACACAGCACGAGATGACACTTCAATGAGAGGTGTGGCTTCCAAGGTCAGTCCTAGTCTTAGGCAGGTCCTGGAAGGTTGGAAGAAGCCTAGCTTACTGTCGAGAGAGTGGCCAGGTCACATGTTGAGGCGGACGCTGACACTCTTGCTGTAGGCAGGTATTGCAGCTTCTTGCTCACTGATCATGGCACATGCGTCTGGCATTGTTTGACCAGATCGAAGGTTCTTGAGGTTGACTGCAGTGGTAAGTTGGTGCGACAGGGGAGCCCATATGACGTTGTTCACGATGTTCACACAGGCATTGAGCCAGACCATTATGTCTGCTCCAATGTAGATGTAATGCAGTAGGTTGGGGACAACGAGGAAGTAGTGACTCAGGTGTCTGTTGTTCCATCGTATGTCCACAGCGCAGATGATCTTGGAGCTAGCCATGTTTGTCGAGTAGGGATTGAGAGGGAAGCGGCTGTGTTTTGAGACGTGTGGGAGGCTCTGCTGTCTTTGCTTCAATGTTCTGAAAAGCTTCAGGCTGATAGCGGAGTTCTCCACCCACAGGGCTAGTGCTGTGTCGGACCCTGATGTGTCGTGGACATTTATGGCAGTCACGAAGGGGGCCTGAGTCTGAGTCAGGCGCATGCAATGAGCAGAGGAAAGGGTCCAGGTTATTGCTGCTTGGAGTTGAGCTTGGCCCTGGCCCTGGCTTTGACATTGCATCATCAGTCAGTGAGTTGGCGGCGGTGTCTGTGGTTTGACACTGCGACTCATTGGAGTCTACTGGAAGGGCTTCGACTTTGATGTGGCGTTCAATGATGATGGAGAGGTAAAACTTTCTTGCTATACCTTTCTCAATGAGGTCGCCCAGGAGTTGAGGGACTGGAGTTTGGGATGAGACAGGTAGGATGTCAGGACTGATCTGGTGTTATTCGGAGGAGTGGCAGACGACCAAGATAGCACTTTCGGGAACTTGAGTGGTTTCGTCAGCAGGTGCTTGTTGGACGCTGCTGTGATCTCTGCTAGTCAGGCTGACTCTGGTTTCTCTTTCTTTTCCCACTTCCGATCCTCCTCCTTTCGTTGGAAGAACTTTTTCATCATCATCTTCATCAGTTCTTGTTAGTCAAAACACGGTGATGCCTTTTGTTCTTGTGTGGATTCAGTTTGAGCTTGGTCAGCTTGGAATCTTTGTGAATTCTTTTGTCGATTCCTGGGACTGGTGGCTCCAGGGTGTGTTTGTCGTTTTCCCTTGGAGGTTCCGTTGGATTCCCACAAGCCTTTTCCTCTTGAGTTTCCAAATGAGTTTGGCTGATTCCATGATCTCGCCCATTGATTCTCATAAGGTCTGGATTGGTCCCATGATTTCTCCCAGTGATGTCCAGGTGAGTGTTGTCGTCCACGCGGTCCATCCCAGCAGTTGTTCCTCTGTTTAGGTCGGGTACCAGCGTGGGAGTCCCGTTCTCTGTGGGGCGAGGGTGCACTCCACTCTTTGGGTGGCGGCTTGGCATGGTCTTGATGTTGGGCGCCCTCTAGAGCCAGCCCCTGACTTTGAGTGTTGAAGTCAAGAACTGCTGTGGATTTGGCGCTCTTTTCCGAGGCCATCTTTTGTTTGCCGTAAGCTTTGTGCGCCAAGTCTCGCAACTGTTGCACTCATTGTTCGCGGACATGCAAGGACGCCAAGATGGTGGCTTAGTATGCTCGTCTGAGTCGGCTGTAGTAGGCTTGAGGAGATTCATGACGACCTTGTTTCGTCTCCAGGGCAGCCACTAGTCCTTGTTCTGACTCAGGGTCAGCGAATTCTTTAATGAGGGCTTCTCGGAGCAGGTGGTAATCAGTCTTTGTGTGAGCAGACTGCCGGTCCAGGAAGCTGCGCACTTCAGGGCTGGATGTTGTTCGGAGCAAATAGAGTCTGTCTTTGTCAGTGACATTGGGTCTCATTTCCAGGTAAAAAATCGCCATATCGCAGATAAGCTTGGACATCCTGGCTACCTGGCACAATTGGGGTGAATTTGCCAATGTTCCTGGTGAGCTTGTCGAGGTCTTTGAGGTCC